ATTTAGTTACCTCAAAATGTTGCCAGTACCTATTTATATTCTGGGTGTGAGAGGAAAGTGGCTCTTCCTAGAACACAGCACAATGACCCTAGCCAGCACTCATAACAGTTTGCTAAGGGAGTCCAACAACCTAACCATTAGCAGAGCTTGAAAAAAATGTGAATAGGCCATTTTGCTAATGCAAATATTCCCTAGTTCCATTCCCTTGTGGGGGCAAGAAGTGATCACTCCGCCAAAAATGGCCTCATTAATACATTAAATAGATAAAATTTTGCCCCCACAAGGGACTGGAGCTAACATTAGGAAAATGGTGTATTCCAGCTTGTCCTTTGGACATGAAGCTCTCAAATTTTGCTTGCCCTGAGCAAGTCTGAGTTTTCATTGGCAGACAACTTGCTTGAGCCTTTGCCCATTGGGCAAGTGACAATGAAAAGTTACTTGCCCCCACCCATCCCAGACAACCGGACGGTACTTTTTTTGAGCCCTGGAATGGTCATAATACTAAGTTATATATTACAAAACACCCCAAATACCTTCAAATGGAATGTAGCAACCCTATATTCCATTCCAAGCTTGTGCTTACACACAAATGTACATGTAGCTAGAGATAGTTGCCAACCACAATGCTGACATGGTTAAATTTCTCCAGCTATTAGCCTGGTGCCTCTCTCTACCCAAGGTGTGTAAATGGGTGTGAGAGAGTTGCCTATGCACATAACACAAGGAAATTCCCTAGGACTAAACTGTAAACTGCTTGATTAAAAGCCACAAATGCTAACCATTTGTCTCACTATGACTAGAAATAATCATTCTGTTAAAACTCGAGGTTTTGTACATGTAGCTCATATTACAACTCAATATGTTGGACAGAAAACGATAAATACATATATTCATTACCTCCCATTGCTGGTTATGATGCCGATGTCTCATTGCCCAATCTTGTAATTCATCCACTTTATCTTGTCTCTAAATAAGGGAACGAAGATGGTTCATTCTGTGTGCTTATGTTTTCTTTTTTTCATTCAAACCAGTGCTCTGAATTAATATGCAGTCATGTGTACACAAATAAAATGCTAAGCACGTATGTCCACAACATCCTCAATATCTAAAACTTATTTTATTTTGCCAAACATACATATGAAAGCAGTTTCTTTACCATCCAGTGATTTTAAGGTATTTCCAAAGAGCATTCTCCATGCAGAAAGAATATAATGTCTTGAATTTGATTGCAAGGTATCCACCACAACATGCTCAATTTCAAGTCAATAATCCACTATAAAAATTGCATGTGTCAATGTCACATTTTTTGAGTAATCTTTGTAGTACAAAACCATTTTCACAGAGAGGCCTTACATCTCTATCAAGCTTCTTCTTTCGTGATCCTGCATAGACCTGTTCTATTTCAGATTCTATTTGGTCCACCTAGGATTAAGAATAAATAAATGAATACTACATCTAAAACAAATGTTAACATAACCTAAAAGGTTGAGTAGATAACATAAAACAAATAGAATTTTTACTGTCTTTATTACAGATCAGTTCAATTATGTCATGTTCCCATGCACACACTAATTAATGCACAAAATATATCTCTTATTTCTGGACCATAACACTTAAAGAATAACAACCACAAATGAACTTAATCCTGGTAAGTCTCAAATGACTAAACAATCCAAACTTAACTTACTATTTTGGAAGGTCTTATTTTGGTATAGAGACTCTTTTTTCTCTTAGTCTTTTAATGATAATTGCAGCATATTAAAATTACTGAGAAACTTCCCAAAGTGTTCACTATAACTTTATTTTTCTTAAATCACTATGATTTGCTTTGGGTAAGCCGCCAGCACTTCTTGAAAGGGTTGAATTCCAGAGAATTTTTGTAACAACCAATAAGAAAAACCAATCACGCCTGTGGCAAGTCAAAGTAAAACACCTTCTGTAAATGCTAAAACCAATCACACTCAGAGTTGTCCCCTTGTGTATGGCAAACTTTGTGCCAGGCCTCTAGTAAAACAAAAAAAGGCCTACCTCTATTTGTAACCTATCTAGGACTTCCTGCAACAAGAACAGAAAATCAGGGAACTTAAATCATCGTCAACAATTTCATCATAGAGAAGTTAAGTTAAGTTCCTTATCTCAGATGCAAAAGAAATATATTATGTCTACACCTTTAACAGCTGCAGACACCTGAAGTTTTAATCTTGACTTTTGGGCTCCAGGAAATAAAAACAAAAAGTCCTTGATGAGTCCTCAAGAGTGCGAGCACGAGAGCAGCCACAAAGAAGGTGCAAAGAAAAAAATGTCTCTGGACTTCTTTGTAAAAAAGGACACTTAGTCCCCTCCACTACATAACCACCTTGCCATTATCACCTCCATCTTCACCACCAAAATTTAATCGAGCAACATGTAAATACAAAACAACCACCACACAGTGTCACACGTGTATTGGAGTATGTTGTCTCAGAAAGAGTGGGAAAATCGGAACCATCTGACTTCTGTAGGCCATGAAGCTGTTATTTCCTACCAGTTTGGGAAAGTGCCTTATATTTTGACAGAAAATTTATTTGCAAGATATGTCATGAAAGATGCTCAAATTTCACAAAAGTGTAAACATATGCTGCAAGTGAAATATGAAACCCTGTGGTTGGTCACAAGATCTTAGTCATGCAGTCTTGTCTGGTTTCATCAACATATTTCATAAAAGTGTGAATGATAAGACAACGTAGATTGAATGAAGAGTTTGATACAAGAGAACCCAGAAAGGCAATTAGAAAATATCTTTCTCAGTCATTTGGAAAGATATAAGGCCATTGATTGATCCAGCTTGACTCAGCCACCGTATTTATTCACTTTTTTACATTTATATACGGCTGTAGGACTAGATTGCAACACTAGATTGTCACAAAATGCCTTGAAAGTAATACGGGCATTAATATTGTAGGCAAAACATTATAGACATAACAAATATTTAGAACACAGAAAGTGTCATTAATTTACAAAAGGTAAAATTCTTCAAGCCATGCATTTTTCTTTTTTTTTTTGTACATGTAAAAGTATCAATGTAGCCTGTACATTTTCTGCAAGCCCAACTTTCTTGGCATGTAACACGTGTTCTTCATGTGGATGAGAACCAAAAGGGATTTAACCATCAATAGAATACACACAGTATTCCCATGTAATTAGTGTGTGTGTGTGTAAAAGTGCATGTAAAATTTTTTGTGTGCATCACATGTAAAGGGTTGCATGTAAAGCTGTCATTTTACAGAACTTGACACTTAACACTTAACACTACTAGAGTCACCTCTGTTTGTCTGTAAGCTGAACTTATGGTAAACCCAACATTAAAGACCCAAAAAATCTTGTGTGGTTTGGTTGAATGGCAGAACTGGGCAAAAAGTTGATTTCAAATAACAATTACCCTGATTAGCATGGGAAAGACAAAGTGAACGATATTGGGAGTTGTAGCCAAATGATACCATATTGCACTGACTCACAATCTGACTTTGACAAAGCTTCAGAAAACCAGACACTTGAGTGGGAAAACTTTAAGCAGGCAACGATGAACAGATTCTAAAATGCAGGCCTCTCATTAATGGCCGGTAGCTGGCAGGAAACAACCGGCTACCGGCCAATCTTCAGCCGTCTACCTTCATCTCACTTTACCATTAATTTTGATGAGAAACAAAATAATGAAAAGATGCCACTAAACCATTGCAAGATATCCATTTCAAACGTCCAAGTCTAAGATACCTTTCAAGAGTTTTAAACATGTTAATCTTTTCCATGTGCAGTGTATGCAGTAGACAGGAGTGAAGAAGCAGGAGATTGAAGGTTTGTGAAACACCTAGGACAATTTAACTGGATCCCAGACTTCCACTTCTTGAGAGTGTAAGTTTTTTCAATGTCAGTCAATTGAGCAGAGAAACTTAATTATAAAAAGAAAACTTTTTGTTTGAGACTGTTGAGATTTTGAATAAAAGAACAATAATTGTTAAACACAAAACACAATAAATATAGTCATAGGTTTGATTATTCTTTGGGCCCAAATACTGGGCAGACTAGAAAACGTTGAAAACAGCAATTCCAAGCATCTGAATTTTAAAAGGAGGCATGCGCCTTATGTGCTTGATCAGTAGGCTATCACTTACTTCCCAATTAGGGGTATCTACTCAAAAGCTTATTGACAGTCCTGCACATGACAACTGTACTTAAAATTACTGGTGATACTAGAAAAGGACAGTCAATGCTTACGCTTGCACAATAGAAGAATACCTATTCTTTTAAGATGAAGAGACCACACTCACCGTCATCCAAATTCTTGCCTCTTCTCTCTCTTTTGTTGCTGGGTCTATCTTTGCTGCAAGTCCAAGGCCTATGTACATAACAAAATCCAAAATAATGTGTAATTGTCAAAAGTGTCTTCAAATGTCCAGAAAAGTGCTAAAGACAGACATGCCACTGTTTGACTTTAATTGTAACAAATTTTAAACCTTTTATGGTATAAGTGTTGAGAATTAGCCGAAATTTTGTAATCAATCATCAGAAATAATCAGATTGTCCCAACCCATCCTTCATCAATTATAATCATAATTATATGTATTTCAAAGATGCTTGCAGATCTCACACAAAGTCTGACATGTACAACACAGTGCTGCCCAGCTGAGAGAGGAGCCTAAACACCACAATACCAAATGCTGACATCCCACATTTATATATTGTGTCACAGAGTTTGCCAGGATTTTTAACCGCACAGCCATGGGCCGAGCGCGGTTCTTGTCCTACATGTTGTTTAATTTTTTTTTTTTCGTTTTGTCAATGACCAGACCCAAACTTCCTCTCTGCCAAATTTTGAATCACCCAACCTGTTATGTTCATTCGCCAAAAGCTGTTTAAACATTAATACACGGACAATGTTTTGGATATTGTTTTCTTTATTGTATGTAAAATATATTTTATTTTGGTTTTATCGAAGCATTGGATTTGAAGGGAATAACAAATATGCTAAAAAAGGTATTACCTCAGCCATGGAATGCACTATGTGGTAAAAAGATTGTGTTTACTTTGCAAGTTTATTTCGCCAGGAGTGACAGCTTTTTTAGTTTTCTGAGTATTTTTTGTATTTTTAGACAAGAGAAGTGGATGATTGTGCTGTGAAATTGAAGAGAGTTCAGAGATCGGAAGGAAAATTAAATATTTGCAAGCCAAGCAAAGAACGTGTCAGAACATGCAAGGATTACGTCATTGGTGGGGAAATAACCACCCTACTAAAGTTAGCCATGGATAATGTAATTCTTGAATTATGTGACTCGTGTGACTACTTTGCTAGCCCTTTACTCATGGAAAAAACTATTAAATTTAAGATTTCACAAAGGCTATGAGTGATGGTGCAATAATACAGTTTGTGTTGATTAAGTGATGTGGTGTCTACAGTGATCAATGAATATTTGGAATCTGCACTGCGTTGCGACTGTAGTGCTACAAAAACAGTTAAATTTTAGAAGCGCAGTTATAAGATCTAAAAGATCTCCTTGTTTTCTAATATCTGTCAAAGCAGTGTTACTGAGGTGAAAGACACCTTTACAGGCAATTTATCAGCTTGTTATTTAGCGTTTAGCACAATTTGTAAGATTAATCAACTAAGCGCAGTGGAAGCTCTCTTAACAGACACTCGTAAGCAGACAGCCCTACATATGACCGCCTTCACAAAATCCTGTTTGAACTCCCATACAAACTCTGTATTTATTCATTCCCACAAGCAGACATTCCTGTAAGCGACCATTCCCATAAGCGACCGCTCACACTTTGAGGGCTTGCGACCTAGACTTTTCCTTAAGTTTTAAGCTCCCCTAAGCTGACATCCGAAAGGAAATCCCATGTACATCGCAAAGTATTCAAGTTAGTACTGGAGTAAGAATCTGTATATCCCATTGTACGGCAGTTATCTTTATACAGTTATCACCATTATTAAAAACAAAAAAAATTGTTTAAAAGCAGGGTTCTTTATTACATTCCCAATGTTTAATGTTAGCTCGGCAAGCTCCCATAAGTGGCCATGTATACACCTTACAACTCAAGTGGCTACTTACGAGAACTATTCTCATAAGCGGCCAGTTCCAGTTACAGACACCTTTTTCGCAAAAAGAACTTCCACTCTATTTTATTAGGTGTGAGTGAAATATAAAGAGCGGCCAAGTCAAACCTAGCAAAGCATATGTAAGGCAAATAAATGTACTATATCTGCTGTTACACTGGTCTGCAGAAAAGGAAAAAACATCCATTTTAATGTTTTTAGTTGTCACCCAATAATTTTTCATCTTTATGTAATAATTGATTATGCATCAAGCATAATAGATTGCCGCGTCGGTTACAGTTTTTGATCAATTTTTAATAATAATCGATGATCTCTACTATCCTGGTGGATACAACTTGGTACATGCAGACTGTGTGAACTGGTCACTAATCACCCGAAAGGTTACATCCTTATAGGGAATCACATTTTCCTAAGCAGAATACACACGTACAAAACACAGAGTTATTACACTGTTCTATACCTCTCAGGGAGAAAGGAAGGGTTTCAGTTAACAAAAATCTTTACAAAAAGGAGTCCGAAGCATGACATAGGGATCTTAAATAATGTCAGTGCGTCCATTTTAGACATTAAGCAACCAGAATAATATGAATGTCCCTTTTATTGGAACGTTTTTCTCCTTGTTACTGTAGACTACAGGTAAGGTAAAGTCTGCATACGAGCCAAGTGGCCCATCAGGCCGGAGCTTAACCCGGTTTCTGTAGCATGAAGCGACTAAGAGCATTTCTACTCCCCCCTGGATGGGATGCTAGTCCATCGTAGGGTTACCCCCAGCATTACGTTCGCCGGTACCCATTTATACACCTGGGTGGAGAGAGGCACTGAGAGAGTAAAGTGTCTTGCCCAAGAACACAACGCA